TCATGTATCACTCCACTATCTTTGAATTTCTACATGGCTTTAATCATATGGGATTTGAATCTACTACATCAATGCTGTGTACCTAGTTCTTCATATGACCATCATACGAATTGGAAGTGGAGTAATTACCTTGATAGTCTTTAAGTAGCTAATATACCTTCTATAGTTTCTCTTCTTTTAGTATAATGGAACCCTACCCAAGGAAGGGGGACGTCCACGAATCTCTATTTGCAATGTTCTAAACAAAGGGTTTAGAATAAAAATACTGACATGGTGCCTTGGCGTTGAGCCTAAGCATTTAATTAGAAGGGGAATAGGGGTTTGTGCGTTTTTTCGTCCACAGATTTTTCTTCAGATGGCATGCAAAGGCGGACAAAAGGGGGTTTGAGCGTCAGCGTTGTGGGTCAGAAGGAGATAGAGGTGAGGATTATTCTCGTTGATGAGGCCTGTGGTATGCATCACCTCAACATATTGAGCTTGTCTTGCTCAGAAAAAGTATTAAGCTTGGGCACACAAGTATATGAATTAAAGCGCATTTGTTTTTAATTGTAGTTGGGATCAAAAAATGAAGCACTAACTACATTGACACATGTGAAGCCTGTGGCAAAAGCAAGATCTTAAATACTAAATTTAGCATACTTTTGAGATCATGGGGAAATTAGGAGGGAAATACCTTCACAAAGTGGCTCCATTGTTGCATGGAGGGTTTGGTGGGGGAATATGGGGGCAGCTGTAACTTAAACATCCTTTTTATGTGTTTTTATAAACTAAAAATGTTGTGATGATGAAAAAAGCGGCGGGGAGTCAAGTTTAGAAGGATGTGTGGAAAACTTTAGGCCGGTAGAAGTCAGGTTTAATTGCATATGGCCAATCTTTGCCATTGATCTATTTGAGATTCTCAACTGAATTTGATTCGGCAAGTTGCTGGACCAGCAACAAGAGTTGGTTGGGTGTCAGGAGATGATTGGACACGCACAATAGACCATGGCAGCTCCACTGGTGCTTGCACTGCAATCTGCCCAGAATAGTTCTGGTAGACAAACTCTGATTGGGCGGTGCTGTGGGAGCAGTGCCCATGGCAGATGATGGTGGGGGGAGGATTTAACCTTACTCAAAAAGTCTAGGCTCTGCTGGGGCAGGGGATCATCTGAGGAGGGCTTAGCAGAGGACGTGGACACAGTAGGTTAGGAGCAATTTCGTTTTGAGTGGTCTAGCTAAAAACACAAGGGGCGGTTTGTACACCCATTTTTGATGTGTTTTCATAAAGGATGGTCAGGGGTGGATATGACAACAGCAAAGATTGTATTGCAAGTAGGTATTAAAACTGAAAGGTTGGAGCATTGCAAAAGTGTGAATCCCTACAATATGATTGGCGTTGATAAGAACCAAATTTCTGTAGCACGAGATCAGTACTGTAGGCTGCCAAACCCCCTTTGATTTTGTGGTGAAGGTGTTTAGGGACAATTGAGAGTGCAAGCCAGCAAAAGGACCACCAGTGTGGCCTCATATGGCAGGCAAGTTCAGATGGTCAGAATGAGTGTATTTTTATAAAATAATGGCAGCTGTACTGCCGCCATGGCATGGGCATTACAAGATAAGCCAAGGTCAAGGTACCCCTTGAAGGGGCGGAAATCTATAAATCTTGCTGGCTTATACATTACCAAGGCTATTGCGATGATGGCCACATTCATGTAGGTGAAGAAGTTCCCATACTCAACCCAAAGGCAAAAGTGCAGGTTGCTCTAAGAAAGTACCAAGGGGCTTTAAAGCACTACCTGAGAGCGCGCAAAATGATGCGTTAGGTCCTGAGGTGGAATGTAGCAACTGGAAGCATTTAAGGAGCTAGTTGGCCAGCCTGGTATGTCTCAGCAGGCGTCCAGTAAATGATAGGAGGCGGAGCACCACTGACCCACAAAGAGTCAGCAGGTGTTAATTGCGTCAACATAGGCTCAAATCAGCACGGGCAAAGAGGGCTATCATATGTTATTTTTTTTTTGATCAAACAAATGATCAAATCAAAAAGAAAACCCTTCGAAATCTCCTCTTTAATAAACACATTGGTTTTCTACTTGAGGTATGGCGCATACTAATCTTGTTGGGTAGGCATAAATCAAGTTTAGTATCAATAGAAATGTACCTTATCAATTTCCTAAATTGGAACTGTGGCCATTCTTTAATCTCAAATGTTTTTTGGTTAAAATTTTGTAATTTGTCAGCTTTCCAAGTAGTAACTCAATTGTCAACTGATAAGCTGTGCCTTAGACAGCTGGTAATACTGTTTGCTATGACTTTTATAACTCTGTCATGCTAGTGATTTGTAATAGATAGTTTTGGGGTATTGTAAGGGTATTTTGGTAGAAATCACTCTTTTTTACCTGGTCTAATTCTTACCTCCTTGGTAGCATAGTATGTATTGTCATCTGGTGCATCTTATGAATCAAGGGAGCTTTTTTGTACACCTTCCAGAAGTAGATTAACATAAAGCAAAGAAGAAACAGGTTTCAACTAGTCAAGGTTACTCCTTGTTGCTGAATTTTTTCATCTAGCACAAGATGCTCCAAAATTGAGGAGAGAGACTAACCTTACCTTAAGTTGATACCTCCTTCATATTCAATCATAACTGCATCCTCATGGGTATGCCATACAGACTTTATCCAAATGCAATTGAATAAATGAAAAACTATTTTAAAAATTTGAATCAGCAGGAGGGAGTAAGCATCTATAGCTTTGGTGTTATCTAGACCTGCAGTGCTATGCTCCTGGGCCACTTGAGATACAGGGAAATCTTGATATTCTTAGCGAGCCAAGAAAAAACAACGTTAATTGTCAATCTTGTATAAAAATAGCCAATACTCTGACTTTTTGAATCGCCACCTTTACTATGGTTATTGTTCCTCCAAAATTTGGAGGTAAGGCCAAAACTTATTAGATAGAATGTTGCATTGAGCTTTCTTGCAGTCTTGGGATACTTCTTACAGATTTCTACTTGAATTTGTATGCTTGAGATGGGTCAGATCAAAAAGGAAAAATACTTATCAGAATAACCAGCTGTATCAATTAATTTTGAACGCCTGATAACTTGAATGTGGTATTTGTCCTCCAGGACTTGAATGTTGTTGATATTCTCAGCTCTTGAGTGATCTTGAAGGCAATCTTAGTGGGTGTAACTAAAATAATAACCTGTATCTTCTTAACCCACTTTAGCTTCATCAAAAAATTGGTTCTCAAAGCACATAATTTGAGAAAATAGCAGAGTTTTGATTTCAAGTAAAGTAGGTTGGTCAAATTTAGAGGTACCTGTCCCTCAGCTGAACATTCTTTATCTTCTTGGCGAGGGCAGTTCTCTTCTTGAAGCACTTGGCATTGGTATGTTTTTTACAATAGTTGTATTTAAGTTTCTCCACTTTTTGCTTAATTTCTTAAATGGTATATCTCTGGGGTTTGTGCAAGCCTTTTAGCTGGTTTACAGTTTGTGTTATCACCCTCATTAAGCCGGGATTCTTTGATATCAAAAATTGGTTAAGCTTTGTCTAAATGGAAGTGATATGCATGTCTAAGTTGGGAACACTATGTAAGCCAGCAACAACTGCTGATATGGCGTCATCCAAAGTAAGCTTTTCAAGTTCATCAGTGTTTAAGCCTTGATAAAGAAGCAATCCACGAATTTGGCTAGAGTTAGCTCAACACAAAGCAATTCTAATTACATCCTGTCTCTCTAATATCAAGCTTTGCTTGGAACCAAAATCCATGATAAGCGCTTTTTTAACTTTTTTCCAAGTATTACAAGTTGTCCATGTGAGACTCCATAACCTCCTGTGCAATGTAATTTAAACAAGAAAAGCTTTTTTTTTACCCTTTTTTGATCAATTGCATTATTCATGCAGCCTCAAAGACATAGAAGAAAAATGTGATACTCCCTTTTCAGGATATACTTACCCTCAAAGCAGGTTTTAAGGTAGTGGTTTCCAATACTGTGATAACATGTACTCTAGGAGCTTCTGATTCAGTATTTTTTGGTACATTCGTCACTATGCTCAACTTGTCAAGTGAGTCAGCGAATTTGATCCTGTAGAGGGTAAAGATGTTGCTCAATTCTTCTAGAATAAGTCATAATGCAATATCTAGAATATTAAAACGTCTTTTTAGAATGTATTTATCATTCTTCAGGTTCTCAAAGCAGATGTCAAGATATTGATTTGGTGATAAGAGGTAGAGTGTAAAATTTCAAGAGTTTATTCTCTTCCTTTAATACTATAATGCGCCTTTTTAGTTTTCCTTAATCTGTTGACATTCAGTTCTTTTTTTTAAACTTGTCAGTCTTAGCTTTCAGCTCTTCTGTGAGAGTATTCCAGTGTTGCTAAGCTACAATGAGGCGATTTTAGATTTGGTTAATGACTTCTAGACTAGGTGATTTGCCTCTCTTATTGCTCTTCAATTTGTTGAGTCACTTGGCAATGGGTCGAGTAGGCATCTGAATTGTAATAGATATCAGATCCTTCTCAACACAGGCTACTTGAGCAATAAGATTCTGTGTTACCAATAAATTACCAAAGGGTTTGTGGGCTTTAAGATCATCAGTATGTTTTAAGGCTTGCTCCACTCAGGACTCAAGGGGCTTAATATGTTCTTCCTTTTTATGACATCTATTAAAATTGTGGGATGCTTTTCACTTCTGGTTTACATCTTGTCAACAAAGCTCTTGGGAAAGATCTTATAGTAGTCTTTGGTGGTTTTGCTTTAGAATCCACAATATCCTTTTTAACGTGTTGCATAGCATTCTATACATACTTGATTACTCCAGGAAAAATGGTTTCCATTTGATTATTAGTTAATAAAATAGGTATGATTTGCTTTGATAAGACAGCATATGTACTTGGGACCATCTAGTACTAAAAAAAGACAGCATATGTACCCTATACTTTGAGTCCAAATTGTGTATCTGTTCATAGCCATCCGTAAGACCCTTTGGGTAAAATAATGTTGATTATATTCCTCATTATGAGAGGGTGGAAGGCGAGTTGGTAAGGGCATAAAGCTACCAACCTGAAGGTTGTGGGTTCGATTCCCACCCTTTGCACATCGATTGGGGTGCCAGCCAAAGGAAGCTATTGGCGGTTAGTAGGTCTAATAACACGAAAACCTTACCCATGATGTAACCAGAAAAATTTGAGTCCTGATCCTGGAGGTGGAAAAACTTTCTTTGACAGAGTTGACCCTGTTCAGGTTTCATGTTGTTTCTTTCTTTCTTTTGGTAATGCCTGTCCCCTGGTCAGCTTGCCTCAGTTAAAAAAATATTCCTCATTATGGACTCTTAAAAGATGCACAATATGGTAAAGCGCTGGGTGCACAGGTTGCATGAGGTAGCTACATAAATTTTCTTGAACCGTATATATCTGGAAGAGCACTATATTCATATAAATCAATTAGAGTCCTGTCCATGGCGGATGTCCTTTTGTGGCTGGTTTTTTCTCATGGGTTTATGACTCCTCAAAGTAGGTCTTAAAGCCATTCATTGAAAATGCAGGTTAGACGTTGAGATTTAAGAATCTCAATTTTGGATCACCTTGCACTTATTAAACTGATAAGGGTGGACTTCCCATTTTATCATCTTCTTCAATGTTTTCATTGTGCACCCAGTGGGCACACTATCAGTCCGATTATCTCCCATGGTTCAATCAATTAGGTGCAGATATTGTTAAGCTTTGGCTGAGCCCCTATAGGGAGCACCAGTATGTTGAAATTCCACTCTTTGTGGCTCAATGGTGCTATGCCCTAGAAGCTAACAGTCAATACTTGGAGTAGTCTATGACTCACAACAATAATTTTAGTTATTTTTGAGGGTGCCAAGTCACGCTTAGGTCCCATCATCTATAGTATCCATCCTTAATATGATTGGAAAAGGGACTTACTAAACTCAAGTAACAAAAAGTAGATATATCTAAAATTGGCGCAACTCTTAACTTAGAATCAAAGAGGAGTATTTATATGTTACAATTAACAATATAATCCCCATTAGAGTCAAAGTAACAAAATAAATGAAAGGGAGATTTGGATGAATAGCTCTCGGTCAGGAGGTACATTACAGGTTTAAAAATGTCAATATAGCAATATTCTGATAGGTAGATAAGTCATATAGAATGAATTAAGTTGGATAAGACTTGGTACTACTTAGGCTGATCATTGGGCTAATTCTTGTTCTTACCTTTTTATGGGTATATCTTAATTTACTATCTTTATTATCACCTGATATATAATTCACCTAACATTGCAATAGTTCTTTGCTTTTGCTATTCATGATTCCATTTAGAATTGTTTTGAGATCAAGTCGGTCTGAAAACACTTTATAATACTAAATGAGTCTTAGAACTATCTAATTTTTGTATAGTTGGTCAAAGGGCTTTCTTTAACCCTCTTTCATGTCTAGGAGATGATTCTTTTGTGGGATTCAAATAGCTAATACTCTTCCTCTCATATCCAATACTCAGATATCTAACACCATGTAACAACTAAAGGGAAACTTACAACAAGTTTTTACTATAATACAAAAGAAATGAGTCTCTAACTTGATCTTTTGAGAGTATATAGTTTGACTGGAGAACCCAATAACCAAGCTAATAAAGTAAGCTCAAAATTTATGCATGTATATACTAAAAGCTTTTCACTAACGTTGAAAGATATGAGCAAACTAACAAAAAAATTTACATGATAATGATTGAACTATTATATGACTTGATGACTATAAGGAAAACTAGGAAACATGTAGTCTTCTTTAGACTATATTCATAAAGAGTTATTGGCATGCACATCGCTCAGCAGCAACAACAACCTGTAACTACTCAAGAACCATCTCATAACAAGACTTAATGCTGGTTACCTAGAAAAATTTGCAATCACCTTACCCTCAAGAGGATACTAACTTTTGACCATTATTCAAAAAACCATATACACCCTGACAAGCGTACTACTGCTAGCCTCTTATATATGTATGAAAAAGTAAGGAGTAATTGACCCCCAGAAAACTTTCATCATATTCAGGTTTCATGAGTATTGATGCACATGAGGTCTTAAGTGCGAGCTTGACTAGCATAACTATCATGAGCTCAAGTTATGGAATTCCTCATATTTTATTTGGAAGCTAAAGGTATACAAGACATGAAACGAAGTTTTAATGACGAAGATGGGCAAAATTAATTTGGATGAATTATGTGTTTATAAAAGCTCATTTAGAGAGTTAGTCTACTCCCAATGGAAAGTTTTCTTAAGATTCTAATTCTAATGAAGTATTAACACTAATGATACTAATCCTAAAGTCAGCCTGAACAAAGATCAAGATTTCATAACATGGCTAGCGATTAAAATACTTAATAAAATATAAAATCCCCTTTTATAGGATTTAAGCAGTCAGAATTCTCACTGGTGGAGGCCTTTATATGCCCCCTGACTGCAAAAATAATTTGACAGCAGTTAACAATGATGTCATAGGTTACATCCTTATACATACTGGTCAAAAAGAGTATGCACCCAATGTCGCAAATGTCGCCCATAAGACTCCCTTTTGTACTCTTGGTTCTACCACCAACTATGGCCAAATTACAGTTATTTGACTTTAAGATGTTTTCCTGTCAAATAACTCTGTCCAAAAAAACTTTACTGAATTTGGAAAACAAATTAAATTCAAAATAACAACTTTAATTGTTTAGATAAAGCACAAAAGCAGGCTCAAGAGTCATAGGAGCCATCAGAGAACAGAGACTAGTTAAATACAAAACAGGAATTAAGAACTATAAACATACAGGAACTGCACAGTAAATCTGCGGAGACAACCCAGAAAATCAGCAGAATTAGATTTATGGAATCCAATAACCATTAACCCTTTCAGTGCTATGTTTTTATCCAAATTTTGACCCCCTATGCTAAAGTTTTACTTTTTAACTCTCTGTGTATAACTGATGATATAAATAGGTCACTTGAATAACTAGAAATTTTTTAAATTATTAATATGTAAATACTTTTTGATGTTATTGTCATATTATGAAGTGGCATCTCTCACATATATATATTGGAATTGTGGTTTTTATTGTCACTGCAATTAAGATTAGAACTGGGTTTGAAATAATACTGTACTTATGTACAAACAAATTAGGAATAAAATAAATATATTCTAACATGTTCAGTATTTTCGTTTTATGTGATAAATTTCAAAATGCAGATAGATGCATAGTACTATATCACACTCTTTACTCACATATCTTGACTCTCTCCTCCTGGGTGCATAGACGGCACATCCTTAAACAGCTGTTGATTTTTTTTCTGTGGGTAATACTAGTGATGGGAAATGTCTCTCTTTCAAATGTAGAGGATATCTCCTGATGATGGCCTGCCTCCTTTCCTTTTTAGTGGTGGGTTGTGTTACTTTTCCAGAATCTCTCTTATATAAGCTAATTGAAAATTAGCAACTGATATATCTTTTTGTTAATTTCTTATATGATGAATGAGCACTAAGAATTGATAGGTCCATGAAATGAAAAATAGCTATTTGTACCACTTTAGTTTTTTTGGACACATTCCACAGAACTAAACAGCATATCAGTCTTGTCTACTGCACCCATATGATTATTATATTCCTTTATGCATTCTGGTATTAGAATCTTCAGCACTGTTTTTATATCCTTTCTACCTGAAACATCAAAGTCATCTCCACAAAATGTAGTCAATATTTGTAATTCCCGCCTATCTTTCCATCTAAGCACACCATGCTGTTGGATACAAAACTTTCATGTTGACCCTTCCAGAGTTCACTTGTGAATTTTGGCATAATTTTATATTCATCCTTACAGTACCACACACATCTGTTCGATTTTCATGCAGGATATTGAGGATCTTAGGACTAAAATCCAAATTGTCAATATACAGTGTGTGACCCTGGTCATACATACCATTCATAATTGTCTTAAAAACAGAACCAGCAAAATCATATTCAGGTGTGAGCTTGTATGTGTCATGCTTCCTGTATACACAATGAAGTCATATATAAAATCATCAGTTGTATAAAATAGATAATTTCACCCCAAACCTATGCCTTTTTTATGGAATGTACTGTTTGAAAGAAAGTCTGCCTCTGAAGAGAAGAATGTTTTTGTCAATGAACTTATTTTGGTATGGTCTAAAAGCAGACTAAAATTATTTCTAAGCTTATCAAGGACCACCTGTAACTTGAATAACCTGTTTCTAGAAGGTTGATGATAATTGCATCAGAAGTTAAACATTTTAGCAAACTTTGAAACCTATTTCTAGACATATATTTATTAAAAACAGGTGTATGCAGAATGAATATGTTGGTCAGTGCTAAAAATTGAACTTTTTTAGTTCTGGTCATGAGGAAACACAAGGCCAAAACTACATATAATTTATCCCCATTTGTGTCTTTCCATTTAGATATATATGAAGATGGGGAATTTATATTTGCAACACATACTGTACTATATCAGTTTGTTTCTGAAGCAATCTTGCCAACAAATTTGGTATTACAAAGAGTTTAAAGAAATCTAAATATGATGAATTCTACATCATCTGTATGAAGACCACCAAAATTAGGGTCAGAATAACAAAACACAGGAAAATATATGCTTTTCATTGAAATCCTTCATTTACAAATGTATTAACACTAAAAGAATGAGTATCATCTTCATAATCACTCAACAATTTATTGTCACTTCTAATATCACTGTCAATATTTACAAACAATGGACACAGAATATTTGTTCATTTTCACAACTCAGGCCTGGGAAATCTTACATTATCATATAAACAATACTGAAATATATAATATATAAGCTAAAACAGAAAAGAAATAAACTAAAACAAGAAATAAACATTATATAAACGTGCAAACTCTTTCATTATGTAACTTCACATGTAGTAAGTGATGAATAGTCAGCTGTTTGAAAATCAAGCTAAAAGATAAAATTCATTCCCACAAACACAAGTAATAACCTAAATATACTATAAATATGTTGTGATACCAAAACTGGACACCAAATAGTCAAAAAAATGACAAATTAATGTGACATTAGAATT